AAGTTTGAGATTGGGCCCTGCTGATTACTACTGTGTATGATAACACTGCGCCATGGATTACTTTTCAACATTACATCCATCACGCTAACGTCTTCCACAAATACCCTCTAATATAGACATCCGTGTTCATTACAATGTCTGGGGGATCCCTGTCGTCCTAATAGGCATTTCATAGACAAGTCCTTGACAAAAAGTAAATATTGAAATCCATCATGTACCGACCTCATTCAAACAAATGGATGCCCATATATTACACCCCGTTGAGGCCGATCGCTTTAATGAACTTAAATAGCTCATGAACATAATGGTGTATTATACGATCATTTATGCTGGCCCTAAAGGCGGCCAATTATCCGTTAATATCATCTCCTCAACTCAGCTGTCCGGCCTTCGCGCGCAATTATAAGCTATCTAGACCAAGTTGGCGCCAACGCTTACTTCTGGGACCAAACAGAGGCCGGGCGCGCTGCCGGCAGATATTCGGGAGAGGGGAGGGGGCGGCCATTTAATTTTACCAGGAGGGTATTTCCCCTGGATTGAGCCTCGCGTTGATGACGAGTGCGCAAACGTGATCTGATGGGCGACCTTTGTGACAAAACATCGCAATCATCACACGGCATTGTTGGACGGACGCTCGCTTGTAGGACATTGTGTAGCGAGATCGATGAAAACTTAAATTGGAGAGACTACATTGTCCCCCATCCATTCGTATCCTTTTCAGCTGTCCTGGAGAATCTATGTTTTGTCTTTTGTTGGGTCGCTGCTGGGGATTGGCGCAACTGAAAAGCCCGCAGATCTTCCACGAGGGAGCCGGCGGTGTCTGGGCCGTGAGCCGGCCGGGCTTTCAACCCCGCCGACCCCGGAGGCTCGGCCCAACCTTAATGCGCTCTAAATGCCGATCGCTCTTAATATTTGTGCAAATTGTCGCTTACTCCACCTGGATATCGACCATTAAGGTGTTGGAAAATAAAGAGGTGGGCTCTGGAGGCATATTGGTCATTTAAGTCGGACAGGGTGGAGAATAAAGAGGCGCGGTGGACGCGAACTCCGGCTTAGAGAGGTCACCCACTCGGTCCTTTTTAAAAGCCCATTCAGCGGGAAAAGAGCTCAATTTAGTGTTCACACACTTGGTACAATACCTGGCTATTAGAGATTCGTAACGCCGCCGCTGTACGCGCCGTGTGGTTATTCTTTATTTGCAGAGCTAAGAAAGACAGAAGGAAGGCTCGCAATGTAACATGTTGATGTAGTTAGCGTTATTAGGAGCTCGATATCGATTCAACTGCGGAGAAAAAAAACGGCACGCTGACATCACACATGCTCGTCACGTCCCTCTCGAGATGTCGAAAGAAGATATGGCAAAAAGAGCCCAATTAATTTCGGGGGAAGATATTAATATTTCATTCTAGGCCTGTCTTGTTTAACAAGCGCAGGTCCCACAGAAGGATACACGGCGTGTTTTCTAATAAAGCTGCCCGGACTTAAACAGTATAGAATTGCTCCCTCCCGTCTTGATACACGGCGAAAATGACCATCTCCGCGTCCCGCGCTGCACTTTGCTTTCATTAATTCGTATTTCATAACGGCAATTTCATTTAAAACGCTGTAATCAATAGCACTTTAGCGACCCCTTGGTAGCACTTGGAGCAGACTTGTTCATCTCGGATGAGCACAGCCCTCCCCCCTTGGTAATCATAGGTTATTGGAAAGGATTTGAGAGAACAGCCACCACTTTAGCGTTGACTTACTAATCAATCTGCTGGGAGGAGCACGTGACCAGAAGACATAGCAGGGTCGTCCGGTACTCTGCCTTATCAGGAACACACCGTCATCTCTGACCTGCGATATTTGACTCCAAACAGCGCACACATGCGTCAAGTGGTCCTAAATACTCCGAGTAGGAACAACGGGCTATAAAAAGCAGCAAAAGGCTAAAACATTGTACACTTTCACGTCCGTTTGGTAGTTCAGATCAACACCCTAACGCCTGGTAAAACTTGAAATCTTCCGGTAAATATTCCCCCGTAGCGCGAAATCAACTTCACCAATCCCTCGGCTTTGTACGTTCCTTTTCCTTAAATGTCAAGATCGCCGAGTTAATAGGTAGGTATCAAGACATTTCTTGTTTTGACAGAAACACATTAGTTTGATCGACAAGTCTAGCTTTAATAGACAAGGCGCTTTATTCGCCAACGTATCTCAAGGCTGAAGTGGTATTAAAATCTAAAGATACTAAGTACAGTCTCATTAATCTTGTTTGCTATTACCTCCAGTAATGACATATACCTGAGGGTAGAATGTACTGTGCGATGACGTAAGAGACGTGGGATTCAAACGGCTACGGTGGGAAGGAGTGAGCGATGTTCTAAAATACAAGTAGACGGTTATATTATCATCATATTGAATATTGAGTAAGATTCTTAAAAGCTATTGGCAATATTCCAGAACTGTATAGCCGTCTTTTTTCACCGGATTCTGCTAGCGCTGTTAGAACTTTACAAGAATTGCAACAAAGGACAAAATAATAAAGGACTCAAAAACGCCACTTGAATTTGGATGGCACAATTCTCAAATGCGTTCACAGTCAGACAGTGTTAATCTTTTGGGATGATTTTTGTTCTTCTGTAATATCTTTGTATTATTCCTTAAACAGTGTTCCTAATCACATCGTTTCGTCAGAACACGTCTGCTACAATATGTCTCACTAAACATGCATATCAATTTTTATTCGTGAAAAACTCAGTTTCAACCTTAATTTTCTAATGTTTCTATCTGAACACATTTGACCGTGCAATATAACTTTTTTCTGTTCTATTGTAAAATGCTTAATGACTTACATATGTTTGTCCGCTTGCTGTAATTACATCTCTTGATGACTCTGGTAATTTTGAACATTGTAAATTACAGCCGTGCCACCCACGTCTATAGTGTTCATTAGTGGTGTTTTATCAATATTCCGTGTGACGGAGGAGATAAAACCCACCTGTGTATAAGAAAAATGCTAATTTCGTCATTGTTGTCCTGTGTAGATTTTACCAATACATCATCCCGCTAAGACAAGTCCCTCCCCCTCCCTCCCATCGCCACCAATTATGCAAATTAATAACCAGATATCATCGAAAAGTCTTCAGTCATCCATGTTTAAACGTCACATTACTCGTAATTGGACCAAAACACCGTCTGTTGGAAAATCCCTCTTCTGTTGAGTCGTCCCAAAACGTCTGCCACTCAGACAAATTTCAGGCGCCCTTAGAAGTCATTTTCTGCTCGAAGTTTTCGATTTGTGTGCCCTGACGTGAAGAGTTAAGTGAAAGACATCCCGTCTGTCAAAACAGGCTTCCGTGGGTAGAAAAAAACTCAGCCACTGGCCACAGGGAGACACCACACAATTACTAACACGAGACCACGGCTTATCGAATTTTCGGCAAGAACCAAACTCGGAAAATAGGTTAGAGTTTGTTTTATTTTTGCTTCCTTAGTCGTGATTGAGTTTTGCAAATCTGTCTTTTGTTGTTCACGTAGAGTGACGCCATGTAATAGATGGCAGGTGTCACTTACCTTACAAGTAAGTCATTAGAGCGGAGAAAAACAATGGGACACATCAGTAACGTAATCTCGGGTTATCTCGCCCCAAGTCTCGTCGCCAGACGCGTATCTCGCCGAGAAGACAACGAGTACAGATACAGTTGTACATGTAAGGCGCTTGTAGATGGTAATGGGGGTTAATGGCCGCAGGCGGTAAAATGCCAGTCTTTGGGGAGAGAAAAAAGGGAAAGATACGACAGGGCTTTTGAGACGCGTGTTGGTGTTTCGGGACATCGCCGCGCTGCTCAGCGCCTATCTTACTTATGACAGTTGCAGGCAGGTGCGACAGAGTACATCTGAGATTTGGGAAGCGCCTTGACCCGTCTGCTGGCAGGCTGCGCACGGATCTGGCGCGTATTTCTCCAAGCGCGATACGAAAAAAGAAAAGTTCAAACGCGTAGTCCAGAACAATAAATCATTCCAAACTAGTCTGTACTCGCGCGTACCCCGGCTTGTAAGCAGGCTCTTGTGGGACAAGACATACAATATCCCCTGCGAACACTAATGCTCGGACATTAAATGTGAGGCGCGAATGCTCCCCGAGATTATGATGTCTACACATAACAAGACTCGCGAGAGCGTCCAAATCGTTCTTCTTTCCGAACTGGGATACATTTTCAGCCGGGCGGATAAAAGAAGCGAGGCCGCTTCCAGCTCAACTCTGCGCTGTTCTTTGTGTGTGGTCAAAGTAACGGTTATTAAATGTATCAGATGTTTAGGCTGAGATAGAGGGGGGTTTGTATAACACGGCCCGTCTCCTGTTTCGGTCGAGTCGGCTTCTGCCGCCACCTAGAATTTAGACTGGCCCCAGCACAGCCCGGGGCTATAGAACAACCCGTGTGCACGCTCTCATACACAGATAAGGAAACTTCATTCCGCTGTATTAATCAACGAGCATTATTATTAGTATTGTGGCTTCTGAATTTATTATCTCTCTGTTTACCTCCGTCTTTTAATTTGATGCTCGCCGTGATTTCTTTCTCTGTCATAATAATGATATCTCCACGGTGCAGGGGTGAAAAAGGGGACACGTTTTTGGTTTTTGTTCCGACACTGAACTCGCGGAATAAATGTGTTCTAATATTGCAAACCCCATGCCCTATTGGTGTATTGAAAACCGCTACATCAAAAGAGTTGCTGCTAGCGCGAAACGCACTCGTAGAAAAAAAGCTACACTCGTGCCAGCCAATAGAATGAAAGAAAGAAAAACAAATAATCATAATCGACTCGATAATGCCCGTATTACGGCCAATTGAAAGCGTAAACAGGCTTGTATCAAGTATGTCCTGCCGCCGGTGTTAATTGCCCCGTGAGATCGGGAGAGAGGCTCCCGGGGGCGGGGTTCCGGGATATGTCACTCTGCATACAGTATTTAAGTGCTTGCCCGTTGTCCGTCACCCCGTGGTTCCCAACCAATGGATGTCGAGCGTGCCGTGCCCAAATGACTCTTTTTGACTGGATTATGATTAATATAGTCGGCTATCTGGCTACAGAGATAATTCTGCGACCACCGACTGGCCCAGAGTAGAGAGTTGAGCACCACCACTCACGGCGCAGGTCCAGGAAAGCGTGGAGTTTTGTTGTTGTATTTTATTTTTTCGGTACTGAGAGTACGGTGGTAGAAGGTTGGCCGTGCAGCGCGCGCGTGTGTGTACATGGTGGGCATCATGGAATCGGAGACTGGGAGCACCACGAGTCCCGGCCCGGGCCAGGAGAACATTAGCTTCAGTATCAACCAAATTTTGAACAGTCAAAGCTCGTCGTCGTCGCAGCCCCTGTCACATCCGTCCATATGTATGTCCCAGCCCAGTTTCTACTCCCCCCACCTCTCCTGGCCCACGACGCCGTCCTGTGGCAGCGTGGCGAACGGCGTGATCAGAGTACCGGCGCACCGGCCCGCGCCACCTCCCCTCAACGCGCACTTCCCGTGGATGGACCAACGGGCCAGGCTCGCCAAGGAAGGTCTAGCAGGTCAGTCCACGAGTCTTAAAGTGTCAGCAGGCTTGAGGAACCACTCTGGTCCTCAACCTACAACATTTACCACTTCCGCCTCGCTCTATCCGACCCATAAACCCAGGCAAGCCGGGGTGTTGACTGTGTTTGAAAACGGCTGACAGCGTCACTTCACTGAACTGTTGTCGTAAAAATCAGGCCGACAGCGACGGGGAGCCTGGCTTTAAACCCGACCAGGTTGTGTACTTGATGCCTCTCCGGTCTGTGGGGCATTATTTTCTCAACATGTAGACACTAAGCCTTAACACTGTAACTTAAGAGTTAAATAAGAGACCTCTAAGGCAACAGTAGGGACAGAGTAATCATAGTATAGCGGCGGCCGAGATCTCGACGCTTCCGGGTCTGAAGTCTCGTGGCCCTCGGCTCAGCACGCACATTTAGCGAAGCCATGCAGCATGGCAATAGAGTGGTTGACATCCGTTCCCGAATATACGGAACACTATAGAAACTGTAAGGCTGTATGATGTGACTGTCTTGTTTGTGAGTAATTTTGATTGTTTCAATTTCCTTTCCCCTTTCTGTACGTGCAGTGCCACCATTTACCGTTACACGGCGGATCGGGCACCCCTACCAAAACAGGACGCCGCCCAAGAGAAAGAAACCCAGAACCTCCTTCACAAGGCTTCAGATCTGCGAACTGGAGAAAAGATTCCACAAACAGAAATATTTGGCGTCGGCAGAGAGGGCTCAACTCGCCACTCAACTCAAAATGACGGACGCCCAAGTCAAGACATGGTTTCAGAACAGAAGAACAAAGTGGAGGTAGATATAAATACTACTTTGTACTACTCCCTGCATTCACACCACTCATACCCATTCTATTCTACCACGTCAGGAGGTAACCATGTACTTAAAGTAGTAGATTTATGGCATTTAGATTTGTTACCCCATTTTCCTCTCATTCCCCCTACCAGAATGACCGGTAGCCTTATCTAGTTTTCTGGCGTCGATCGGACAGTACCGACAGCAGACACCAACCTGTATCTGTACTGTCGATCTAGTGCCCAGAAGCGCTTACAAATAGTCTCGCTAAAGACTGAACATCTTCTGCTAATGGCAAGTGGTGTGGGCTCTAAAGTACCCCTCTAGTCTTATTTGTCAAGATTTAAGCTTTAAAAGAAGGTAGCGGCGATGATAGGAAAGATAAAAGACGTTAGACTAAGAGGTTTAAGTTCGTGAGGTTCTTACAAGTTATTTGATCTTCGCGGAAACGTAGATATTTTTACTTCAAACGTTTTGACTTAAGACTAGCCCCCTGATGTTGACTGTTGGTAGTTAGGGCTCATTAAGTGAAGCTATATCCCAGCGATTTTGTCAGATGAGCGTGTTAAGTCCACACGTTAGAGGTTTGACAACGCTGGTGGTTTCTCTGTACCTTTAACCGCACACACACACACGGCCACGGGGCGAGGAGTGGAATTCGTAGCCGAGGGCATGGCGGCGCCCAGGATGGGGTCGTGGAAGGGACAATAGACCGTACGACCGAAAACAATGCCCGCCGCCCTTCATGGCCAAAAGGGACGGCGTACGGCAGATTTTCGCACTATCTCTACCCTTCCCTTAGTAACCAAACCTTACCGACACTCTACCTGTCAAAATCTGGGGATAAACATCCCGCTATTTGCCTATATCCTACCGAGCTATTTCTGACTAACGTTAAACCCTCGCAGGCTGCAAATCTTGGCAAGAAAAGCCGAGAAGGCTCAGCAAGTTTCCTGCGAGCGTACTTTATAACGTAGCTGCTCCTAAGGCGTGTAAACAGCACCGTAAGGCAGTGCTTACAATATTCACCGTCTGATATATAAGTATGAGAGCGGTTGTGTCGTGCTAGAGTCAGGCAAATTCAAGTTCAGAACTCGCCACCTGCCCCCCACCCCCAGCGTGATGGACACTTGCGTGCGAGGGACCCGCGTCTGTTTTCTTGCTTTCAGACGGCTGCATCTTTCTCGTACCGACGTGACGATAGACAGAAACTCGGGCCAGACAACTTTCCCAACCTCTCCTCTCCTGTACTTGCTGTCAGTCCTTATTCTTTTAAATTGCAACCAAAGTAAGGGGAAACAAACACAGAAAAGGTACATTCACAGGAAGAAATGGTCTTCCTACAAGAACTGCACATTCAGATGTAGATTTACTGCAAAAAACATTCTTGGACTTTGACACGAGTTACATTTGGGGGTCTCACATATTTTTTGGCGAACAAGTGATTGAGGTGGTTCTCTGGAATGATAGATAACCATCTTCACTCGGAGGTGCTTGAGTAGGTGCTGTAGGAAGTGCATAGTAAATCTTAAGTACATATCATCAAGAGAGAGAGAATATAGACCAAGCTTTGTCAGGGCATACTTTACAACTTTTTCCACTCTAGCTAAAATTCTTCTCAAAGCGCTATGTCAGAAAATATCCCGTATGTGACTAATGTACTCTGCCTTTGTTTTTGTGATGTATTGTGCTGGGAGTTTTTTGTTCTTGACTGGTGCATGTAGAGTACGCTGCAGATGGTAGAGTCAGGTGGTCGACTCGGCAGGGGACACGGGAGATACACGGGGTCTCAACAATCGGCACCCCGGGTTCCCCCCTCCCACCCCGCTGACTCTTTGTCATTCACATTTCATTTCTAAGTGTGTGTGTTTTTGTGTGTGTGTGCGGCAGATACAGCCTATTGAACCCGTACAAACTTGTTGGTTTTACCCGAAGTATTATATCCCCCACATGTGTACTGTAGCCTAATTCAAAAACACAACAAACTTTTGTAGCTCACGTTTGTATTTTCACAATAATTATTCTGCCCTATACATACACTTGCTTTGTACAACTGTCTTGCTAGCATCTAGAATATTCTATAACCTGATAAATCACTGAGGGGAAATGATACTCTTTATTACAGTGTAGAATTTACAACAGTGTGTGAGGGAGGTTAGGATAAGGTTCATCCTGTGGTGTCGTGCTTGTTTTGGCTGTGGGACCTGTACACACACAAATCTTCTGTAGTTGACAACAAACAGCGCTGACAGCGTCAGAAACTAAAAGCCTGGGGAGATACAGATCAGTGTCGTGTGAGAGAGAAGACATGTCGTCGGCCGGGCCCTCCTTACTTAAAGTGTAGATAAGGGCTATATACTTGGAGAGATTAGAACTGCCGCGTCGTAAAACGGAGATGTGTAGAGTTGTAGGGGCACTGATTGCCGCAGACATGTGGGTTCTGTACCATGTGTGCATATATGATGCATGTATTTGTGTATGTATTGTAAAATTTACAATGCCATCAGTCACGTTTACCTTTAGTCTGTTTTTCTTCCTATACATTTCACTACATGAGACATATCACACGCACTGACACATACGAGTACACACATACACACACTCACACATACACAAAGACAAGCTTCTTTGCATTTCTGTCTTTTCTTTCATTGGTTGGCTTATTTATATCGGTCAAAGACCTTCTGGCATTCCATTTATGTTTCATATTTTCAAACCAAAAAGCAGTCCAAATTTCAGACCCCATGATGTGATGAAATTGAAATTTCACATGACAAAAACAAAAGCATGACTCCACTGGTTAAAGTGTCGACCCCCTCTGCCCCCTCAGAAAGACGACAGAAGAAAGGAAATGGTACAGCGACCCTCCAACCACCACCTATCCCTTCTCCGCCATGCTTCACTCACCTGTATATCAATACTTAGAGGATGTGCCGTTTCGCACCGTGTTAAGCAAGTGTGTGCCTCCCCACTACAGGCGGCAGACAGCCGAGGAGAGAGAGGCGGAGAGACAGCAGGCCAACAGAATGCTGCTGCAGCTACAAGCGGAAGCAGCCAAGAACATGCCTCAGACTTACGATCCTATCTGTGCTTACAACGCGTCTTTGCACGCCCTACAATCGCTTCAACCGTGGGCAGAGAACAAGCCCGACCCCAACCGGCCGGCCTACCTGAACGCACCCTCCCTCACCACGCCAACGATCTGCTAGCAAAAACTTGTCGGGACAGTAAGGGACTCGGTGCCGACGGGACGTGGCGCAGGGACCCGGTGGCCCCCGTGAGTACAACATCATCTTGTGCTGTACCAACTTGTTCTTTCAAACCAAGAACGGTATGTGACAATTGCAGGGAAACTGTGCAAAATAAAAACGAGCCAAGCGATGGTTATTTGACAGGATCGCAAGAGTGAGACTCGACCAGAAACCTCTGTCGGACATACTTACACATGGAGGTTGTAAAAGAAAACAAAGATGTTACTTACAAAACCTGTACAGAAAGTTTGTATGGTTTTCTTAGACTCTGTTCATTATTTGCTTTATGCTTCATACCAAGTCGTTGGAACTATTTGTACGCTTTAAGAGTTATATAGGTTCCATAGTGAGCAATAATATTTAAATCAGAATCGATGTAATTTTTACATGATAGTGCATCCTTATCATTGTACATACGCATGTGATATCAGTTATATTGCCCTAGCTTATCAGAATATCAGAACGACGCCACATGCTGATATGTGTAATTTCTCCTGTACACCAAAGAAAGGGCCTCAAATGTACTGAATGAGATAATTTCTTTCATTTTTGCATAATCGTCGTATGCTTTTATTTTGTCTTCTCGACGTTCTCAAACTGAGACAACCACTCACGAGGAATATTTCCTTGCTTATTTTATTATTAAAGAAAAGTGTATCATTATGAAGAAAGCGTGTGCGTGTCGCCAATCTGTTCCCCCTGTCAGAGAAACCATATTTCTTCCTCAGAACTTAATAAAGTTGGAAGGAAAAAGAAAAGCCTTGCGTTTTGGAGATTTCATTAGCCCAAAAATCATTGCACTATTAGGGTTATCAGTCGAATTAATAGAGTTAATTTGTAGGACGGAAAAAGAAATGCCACTAAATGGGTCGCAAATCTAATTAACTTCAAGGCAAAATTAGGTCTACTGGTAATAAAGCCGTGAGATGAGATACCCTCCGTACGTCTTCCCCATGAAATAGACACACGTCAATTTCAAAAATAACCCAATCAACTCGGGCCATGATGAGAAATGTGTTTTTGTTATCCGGTCCCTCTTTTGTACGGTCGCGGCAGGGCTGTATTTGTGGAACCGTTAGTTTGAAATATGAGAAGTTTTTCATGTAAATGTCTGAGTCACCGCGGCAGTGCACCTGTTACTCCCCAGTCACGCCACAAAAGAACAAAATCAGAACGTCCTGACTTTATCCGTCATAAAATACCTGCCTTTATTGAGAGGAATTCGATTTGGATAAAACCCACGAATGACGGTAATTCAAACACACTCCTTCACCCCAAGTGCGGTGGATTAAATAAAGCAAAACGCTGGGGTATTGTGACGCTATAAAGGTTATTTAGAGTGACCTTTTTCTGCTAGATTAAAGCGATAGCCCTTTAAAATATGCATAAGTTCCAAAGACCTCGAATCAGTTACAATCATCACCGCATTTTCCAAACTGTCAGAAAGAATTGACGTCCTGTTCAGGACCTCGTAACTTGTGTTTACTCTTATTAAACCCGAAGAAACCCGTAGAAACCCTTTGTATGCTGTGCATGTGTTTCACCTGTAGTAAATTCAGTATGGACCCCAGAAGGCATAGCCTACATTTCCAACCTGCATAACGAGCCGGGGCGGGCGGGCACGTCGGAGGCGAGCGGGCGAGAGAGAGGCTTCGCTCGCACGTAACACCGTCAGGGGACATCGGTACACGGATTCGTCTCAAGAACAATCAAGCTTAAAGAGAAACGACAACATTAAATCCTCGCTCCGGCGGGTTATTTGTCTGGGCAAGCCGTGTTACCCGTGTTCTGTAACCCTGCGTGTGTGGAAGAGTCTACAGCTTGCCCCGGGAGCTCCCCTGTTGGTGGGGAGATCTCATACAGGATTTCAATCATCAGATGTCGGTCGACAGAGACCAACGCGACGGATATTACAGCTTTACTCGCAGGCATATGTAGTTCTCTCCTCTCCACAACTACCGCTAAAATTGATTTCATTCCTGTCTCCGGGTTCCTTTCCTCTCGCCTTCTGTAAGCCATTAACACGCCATTTTGATGACAATCGTATCAGGAAGTCAGAAATTGACGTGATGTATGAAAATGATCCATGGAGATCCCTCTATTAATGTCGTCAGAAATTGGACGTAATCCATACAAGGCTGTAATATGATGTTTATGAATTATCGAGAACAAAGAGCAGAATGGGAAAACGAGGTTTGAATCGATCATAACCCTTGAGTATGGTAATAATAACCTGCGAGTGCTCGCCCCAAGGAGTCGCTTATGAGAACCTAAGACGGGCTTTGGGTGAGATCACGCCCTTAATGAAATAAAGAAGACTTGCTTAGGTCAGTGAAATGCATAGTCAGAATATAGAACATAAATCGGTCCTAAGTCGGTGCATCATGCATCAAATGTTGCTCCTAAACTAATAAATTGTGCGCAAACATCTCGCCGGGTCACAGTTGGCTTTCGTTCACCTGATATAGATGTAAAATTGATACCATCTTTTGGTAAGTGAGGAGAATATAGACTATCGAACATATCTTATTCCTTTTTATAAGGATAATGTTTATAAATGATCGCTATGGGTTTGGCCCCAAGCGCCTGTTTTGAGATATCGATCGTTAATTAGTGCAGAGTTTCAACACAACCTGTCCCATAAATTTAGCTTTAGTGGAGACCAAATCGCGACATTAAATTATGACAGAAGAAGAGTCTTAAATCACAGTAACCTTTTGTCCTTTGGTGTTACGATAGATTCAGTGACTTTGCACGGCGAAACATCCGCAGTTCAATGTTTTGTGCCAACTTCTAGGCTCTGTTTGGTTAGGAAGGATTTGTAGATATCTACACCGTTGTAAAACCTATTTGTTAAGCACGTATCAGGTTTGTACTAGCTTTTGTGATGACGTGATAATTATCCTTATCAAATGTTGTGTTACACAATGTACCGTGGGTTCGTCGCTATGACTTTATGCCGTCCATATAACCCGAGGTAAACGGGAAGGTCCGAAGCGTCATCGGAAAAATATCAAACAATCCCCGCTGAAAATGTCAGGTTGTGGAACAGAACAAAAGGGTTGGTCGGGAGATTTAGACTGGGAAGGTCGAAATGTCAGAGCGATTATAAGTTGTTGGTTGAAGCTTGTATTGTTGCTCGGGCGAGTGTGTGTGTAAGGGGGACTTACGGCTGTACACGGTTGTTGTACGGTTTAACGCGAGGGCACGGTGTCTTCGGTTGACAAACAATGCCCTGCAGGCCTGGATTACCCCGGTCTCTGCCTGGTAAATTTCACCTGCGAGAAACGCGGTTCATGTGACACATTTAAAAAAACATATACGCTTTTGTGTTGGTGAGCAAAACGATCAAAAATATTCCTCGCTTTCCTTTCCTTGTCTCCATTGATTTTGAAAGTATAAACAAATAGAAGTCACTCGCTATGTACACATGGTTCCAGGGTCGTGAACACTGAGAGAGCTTGAACTGAATGGAGAAAGTCGTCCCGAGGTAAAAACGGTTACACATGTGCAGAGTGCGAGGTTGTGTGGAGGGTAACTGGGTGGTATTATGCACATACATTTACCTTAGTGTGCGGACAATTAGAGGATTCCCTGCCGTTTTCAGGTGCCAGCTTAGCACCCAGTTTATCAACAAAGACGCGCGAGAGAGAAATAGAAAAGGGTCAACGCATTCCACAAATGATCAAAGAACTCTAACACGCAGAAACAGGAAAATGTTTTCATCCAAACATCTCTGTTTTCCGTCGTATTTTTCAAAGTCGGTTTGCCGTACACTTAGGACTTTGAAGAAATATTACAGGTATGTATCCTAAAACAAATAGTCACATGTTCTACCATGGGAGGTTTTAAACGAGAATGTTACCAAATTGAAACGGACAAATTTTCTATTAGAGACCCGCAGCGAACGTGAAATGCAGACAGCAACACAGGCAAACATAAGTACATATACTACATATGGTCTTACAATTTGTCACATGTTAAAAACACTGATTAAGTTATCCTTCTTCAAATATGATGTTTTGCAAATGTCGTTTCATTTCCTCGAGTTAAGTCGACCCCTGTCGTGCCTATTTCTCAAACAAGGATGAAATTGAAGGGTACCGAAGACTGATCACCTCCTTAGAGAGCCGGTAATCTCGAAATAACGAGTATTCACGACGAAATATGACGGGAGTTGACGCCTAAACGCACGTTTCCTCCCCGGTAAGGGGAAACTGACAGGACTCAAAGGTGAAAACGACGGTAGTTAAACCGCTGGTGTTGTTTACGCGGTCATATTTCTGATCAGACGGGTGAAAATCCCATGCAATTTTAATCGGTGCTTCTGTGGACGCGTCTCATACATTTGACTAGGGTTAGGGGGATATCCCTTAGGCTGGGAGAAAGAACCTTTTAGTGAAAGCAGCTTAGTAACGTGATACGGTAATGCACTCTCGTGAGATTTGAAGAAAATATCGCGGTGGCAACAATGTATATATAGGTATACCTATGGGCCGATGTTTCACACCACCACCGCGGAGACAGAAAATATCACATTAACGTTTCACGTGGACGTTTGTCACCTCGGCTGCTTCGCTTTATAGTTTTCCAACAAAATAAATCGTTTTTCGCTGCAGTAGACTGCGCCACGGAAGACTCGTCTCTCGCCCAGTATTTTAATGGCTGTTTTCACATAAAATTCGCCCATATCGCTTGGGGCCTCGTTCAATAATGAGACAATGCTAGCCCACAAATCTTGGCCACAACAAAGGCGGAAGAGACGTTTATGAAGTGGGGTTCAGACAGGCTGAACAGTCGAACCGCGCACAAGGACGACTTAATGTCTTCATTAAGCGGACAAAGGAGACGTCGAAAACCGCTTGACTGGGTGGATCATACACAGTCTTTAAACAATGACAGGAGCAATCATACAACAAACATGATATATGGTATATCACCGCCATATTCATAAAGCGAAAACATGGAAACGTATGTACTCATACGGCCGTGTTTGATAACGTTATATGGCTTTTAGTATTGCTTCATACCGCGTTACGTGGTGGGCAGGAGAGATACTACAGTCGCCATAATTCACTCCTGTTTATCATTGTTCCATTGTGTGAGCATCGAACATATTTTGCACCATCTTATTCCGACAAGACTGGTCCCGTGGGCCTCTGTACGGCACCGGCGCGTTAGGACATGCAGGGCTTTTTATTCATACATTTTGCCTCATCTATCTGGCTAGGCACAATAATTGGGCCGTATTTATAGGCATTACTACCATGTAATATTGTAATACTGCGGTTTAAGTATATATCATTTCATATTTTCTCCGATGTTCGACATTTCCTCCGCCGCTGAGCAGAAATTGGAGCAGCGCTTTAGAGCAAAAATGAATGATACGACCGTAATCATAAAATTTGATAACGCTAGGGAACCAAATCCGTGCTCAGGAAGTCGCAATGAATTTTCTGTCATTTCGAATTTGATTGATACCGCCTTTAAAATCCCTGCCACCGAATCTCGCGTCTTCTGCGCCGGAACACGGCTCCCATTAACCCCGGAGTATAATAAATCCTAAACTGAGAAATATCCTCTCGATAAATTGCAATATACCGGTCCTAATTTGAAGTCATTTTGGAGTCAATTCATGCCGAAGTGATATCCATCTCAAGTTGGGCGATATTACTGGTCTGTGTGAGTCAGGAACGGTCGACTCCTCCGCTATCTGTCCACGGC